TTTCTGATCTCAGGATGAATTTCCCTTGCTGGCGGTTAGAAAAACTTTGCCGTGTAATTGAACAAATCCAAATGGGAATAGCAAAGATGCTCAGAGAAGGGACATGCTGGCACGCTCTCATATGCTTACATTCCCAAGCCTGCAGGCAGTTAAGAAACCTGCCTGTAAGCAATTAATTATTATCCCTCCCCAGATCTGTGCTGAACCAGAGCTCACTTTCTACTCCACACATTCCAGCCTTTTCGTGCCACTGTCCGACACAGGAGTACAAATGTAGGTGCCCATTCCTTACACAAATGCCTGCAGCAAAAGAACCCATCAAAGCATTCTCTAGGGACAATTCAGTGTAGCTGCAGCTTCCCCGAGCTGTCAGTCAGTTTGATACCTGGTGGCTGAACTGACAAGTTGATGCTTCTCATCTGTTGTATCATACAGCCCAGCACAGAAAAATTGCAAAGGTCACATCCCTGTGCAGATCCATACTCCAATAACCCAGTGATGGGTCTAAATCTAACAAAGAGTAAATGAAGCACCAGCGAGCAAGCACTGGTACCCCACCAAAGCAGCGTGGCCTCACTATGAGCTGCTGTGCTCTGAGGTCCTCAGCTCCAGCTGCAGCAGCACACACACAGCGTGCAGGTGGCAAACAGACTGAGGAGGAGAAAGGTCTCTGTCCCCTGCTTGCCAGCCCTGATGACTCACAAGCCCATTGTCCAAAAGATTAAACAGAATTGAAAAAACCTGGTAGCACGATCAAAATATAAGCAGCTGTGGCTCAGACACACACAGAGCTCAGAGCCTGCGCGCTGCTCTGACCTCCCAGGGCTGGTAGCAAACATGGGCAGTGTCACCGACCACATCCATCTCCTTCAATCTTTGCCCTGCCCACAGAGTTCAGAGGCAGGTCTGCACACCCCTCATGTGCTCGTGGGGACCCGGATTTCCTTTTCTTCTCACAAAGCTCTCATCCGACTCCCAGAACGAGACTGTGAATCTCAGAGGCAGCTGCCAGCTTTTGCTGGTTACTGGTAAATCTAGACTTTCCTTTCCTAGCTTTCTTGATGCTTGTTTGCCACATTATGATTCGGTGCTTGAATTTATGTAAAATTTAAATGAGCAGAGCCCAACACACTCGTGTGCTAAAATGCTTCAAGTTAATTTGATCAGACTTCTGGGTCCAGAGTCCCAGCAGACCAGCACGGATAGACCGGGGCTCATTTATATTCGTGTACTTGAGATGGAAACAAAAGGAAAATAGAACTTAGGTCCAGCAGAAGGTGCTTTTGAGATCTCTTTGCTGGGCCCAACAAAACTAGAATATCTGAAATATTTCCACATCTCCACAGCAACCTGCTGAGCCCTTGCCTGGCTGTAGTGGGTCTGGGCTGCTGGCCTAGGAAGTTGCTACACAAAGATAGAAGGCTGCAGTCCTCACATAGCTGTTAATCATTTACCTTCTCCTACACAAAGTGACTGCTGCCAGTTATAGCTGAGAAAGCCTTTGTGGATCTTGGGAGGAATTTTCCTTTATTCAAGGAATGCTATTCTCCAGCTTCAACATGCTCCATCAACCAATAGGCAGAATTGGTCGCTTTTATAATATTTTTTTCTTTTGCTGCTTTATTCTGTCAGTCGTGTGTTTAATTCACAACGCGCTCAATCTCTTTTGAACTTTATTTTTAAAAAGAAACTTGTTTTAACACCAAGCATTACTATTATTGCTTTGCTTTTGTGGCTGACTGCCATCAGAGTTCTCTAAAACACACCCCACACAGGACAGAGTATTTGCTCTGCTCGTGGCTGGCAAAGAGTAGCCCTGGCACTGCACGACTGCATCCTCTCCTGTATTTGCATTGTGCCACCTTGGAGATTTTCAAGACCCAATTGAAGCCAAGACCTAAGCAAAGTGGTTTGAATCCAATGCTGGGCCTGCTTTGAGCAGGGGGTGGAGAAGACACTTTCCTGAGGTATCTCAACCTCTCCTTCCTACCTGTGCCATTCCACTATTTCACACTCCTGGGAGATGCTAACACGGGTGGGTCCATGTAAAGCTAAAGAAGTTCAACACAGCAAAGAGCAAGGCTTTGCACTTGGGTCAGAGTAATCCCAGGTACGTATACCAACTGGGGGAAGAAATCCTTGAGAACAGCCCTGCAGAGAAGGAGCCAGGGGTCCTGGTGGATGACAAACTGACCACGACCAGCAGCGTGCTCCTGCAGCTTGGAAAGCAAAAGGTGTCCTGGGCTCCATCAGAAGAGGTATGGCCAACAAAGACAGGGAAGGGTGGCCCTGCCTTGTGGCAGGGGCGTTGGGACTTGATCTTGAGGCCCCTTCCAAGCCAAGCTATTCTATGATTTTATGCTAATAAGCTAGCACAGATATTTTTACCTGGATTTGCTCTCCAGTGATTTAGGGACACATACCCTGTCAAATTTTGCAGAAGCCTTTAACACTGCTCACGTTTCAGACAGTTTGTCAGTTTGACAGGGAACATTTGGGCTGCTGGTCTTTGTGACAGCTGGAGTTTTAGTTCCAGAAATTATCTTCTCTACCTCCTCACACCAGCAGCCCGTAAGCACGATGGAGCTGATCTCTGCAGAGATGCAACCTGCTCATCCTTCCTACTACAAATCCGCTGTGACACTGGTCATTACTCTCACAGAAAATAGGAAAGAAAGGAAGAAAAAATTTAGCTGTTTTGCCTTCAGTTGCCACAAAAAAATGTTTGAAGTTTTCTTGGCAGAATTTCTGGTGTTAAAAGGCATATATGAAACATTTGGTTTTCAGGAGTTCAGGCTTACAATAAGAAAAAGAAAAGGATTGTGGTTGTTTTTTTTTTTTTTTTTTGTGGAAAGCAGCCATTTCTTCCTCAAAGGCATCTGCTCAGCCACAAATCCAGCACAGTGTCAAAAAGCCATTTCACTGAAGTAGTTTCAGCGAGTGCTTCTTACTCACCTATTCCAGTAATAGATTGCACACCTCTGCAGAGCAGCTAGCTTCTTTTCTTATTCTACAAGCATTTATATTTTTCCTGTCAGTGCCCACAACTCAGACTATTTACATTTCTCTCCAGATCACCACTCTGTTTCTTGAGTTTGCTTTTGCCTTTCTTTCCTGCCTGCTGCAAATCATCTATCACATCTGATCTTCTCAGGTTTGGGTGCTGTTTATTTCCCTGCTCTTTGCAGCAGCAGCTACTAACAGCATGGCCACCATCCACCTTTCTGTCTGTACCACTGCTGTTCAGCTAACAGTGACAATTCTAGGGGCAGTCTGTACATGCATCTCACTTTCAGTATCTGGGATCAACAGCTTCCAAATAGCACCAGGAGAGCCCACGTAGCTGAAGAGAGGACCTGTGCTCACTGAAGGATTCAAGTGCCCAAATAGACAGCAGTTCACAGTGCCTGAACCATTAATATTGCAGAAAAGCTCAACCCAGTGTTAAGTTCACACAACCCTGCTACATACTGGCCTGTGATTTCCAGGTTGCGTCATACAGCAAATACTGAATTCCCAAATATTAGATCTTCATACAATTTGTTTTTGTTTTTATTCCTGAAGCATCTGATATTTTAGCGAGTACTTTACTGTTCTTCTCATGACCCTCTCAGACCATTCCCCAGCACTGCTGTCCCTGCTCAGACCCTGCCTTCCCTGTACTCATCCTTGCATCCTGCCCTGTTACCACATCTTCACTTTCTCTCTGTAATTGCCACAAAGGCTTTCAGTGTCACAAAAGCCTTCTTACCATCCCACCACTCGACACTGACACTAAGCTCCCTTCCAATGGGTCCAGCTCAAGAACATTCAGAATGAGCCAATACATCCATCCATCACTGTACTCTGATACAGACCTCAGAGGATTTCCCCGTGCACTGACATTACAGCAGATTGGACCAAAATGCCACAACAGCATTGTAATGTGGTCATCCCTGCTCAGCCCTAACACAGCTGAGAAATGGCAAAGAAATAGCCTAGAATGTATGTGCATAAGACACCTACCATGTGAAAATGGCTCTGCTTGAAGAAACAGGACTCTTTCTCAGAAATTGAATTTGATGTTCCAAAATTTCATATTCTGTAGCTTAGCAACAATTTCATTATTTTTAATCAGACAAGAAGCTGTTTTTCAAATACATTCTGAAATGCACAAGTCCTAAAATTTTGAGCAGTTTTGTGTTTCCCTGCAAAAAGAAATGCATGGGAGAACAGATACATCACCATTATAGATTATGACTTCTTCCACAAAGACTGAATGGAGATCAATTACTTCCGAGCCACTTTGCCTTTTCCTGAGTGCCACTGTTGCTTAATCGATGGTCTGTGTGTAATGAGATAGAAAAGCAGCTCAGAGAACAGGAAAGGCTTTTTTCAATAGAGAAATGTTGCACACTGAGTAGCACCTGAGAGGGGAGGAGACTGATCTACGCTGGAGCCAGGGCTATGAAAATCCTCAGCCTGTGCAGTAGCAGAGGTGGACCGAGGCTATCTGTAAATGTAAGGTAAGACTCCACAAGTGTAAAAAAGCTCTAACTCTAAATGGGGGAAGACATCTAGGAAGTAAAAAAGCCACTTGTCACATTTCACAAAGTATCTTCATCACAGAGCAGTTGGCACAACAGAAGAAAGAATTCCTGGCTGTGGGTGCAATCAGGACCTCTCCCCACTCTCACTCTCCAGAAGTTGTGCATTTTTACTGAAGCTCCATCTCCTCCTGCCCAGCCCACACCAGGCTCCTTCTCCATAAGTAAGAGGTGCATTGGCAGTGGGGTGCCAGGGGCTTGGGCATGGAGTGCTGCTGGTGGGAACGTCGCTGAATTACACAGTGAGGAAGGGGCCACCATAGAGGACAAAAAAAGGAAACATCTGAGAGATGTATGTCTTGCAGCACAACAGTGAGGGTGTGAAGGGATTGTATGGGCCTGGGAGTCCTTCTGCACGAGACATGCAGGTCCTAACTTACCCTATTTCTCCTTCTCAGGAAGGGACTTGGGATCCCTCTCACTGCTTTCTTCTGTCAATTTCCAGCAAAGAACTCAGGACTCATCTGTAGAAGTTGAAGGAAGGATTTGAGGGAGAGTACAAACTTGAATATTTTCTCTGTGCACCTCTTCTCTTCCTCCTGAATTCTCCAGATACAGCTACTCGCAATGCTGAGCCCTGCTGTGGATCAGTGTATGTAGCTCAGGCAAACAACTGCTGTAGAATTCTTGGACATGATTAGACTCCCAAAGGCAGCAGCTGATAATAACAAGTAATAATTTATTATATGATAAAATAACAATTTATGCAAGAAAGATGTGATACTAGAGAAGTTTTCCTTACTAGACAAAGGGATAAGATTAAGAATTAATCAGTGGGTTCCAATCAACTGCAGTGGATTCCTCATCACTGACATTCTTAAAATAAAGCCGGGAAGTTTCTCTACCAAACCTGCTGTAATTTCATTGGGGGTTAGTTCAAGGAAATCCTATGGTTTCCATTAGAGTTAGATAGGCAGCACGACCCTAAAGCTCACAAGTATTTCCCAGTGGGCTCACAAGTATTGCCCAACCAGCTTCAGCATACAGCAAGCTGAGGGCAATCAGCCATCAAAGGAAGAGCTGCTTTCTGCACGAAACATAAGAAAAACAGTCCTAACTCCCCAGTTCTTCAGTGCTCCTACAACTGAATTTCAATTTCATGAATGCCAGGAGGCCTGAAGCTGATTGTAAAGGGTAGTTTCCATTAGTTTCTGCCTTCCAGGATCCCAACACCTCAGTGCTGTTGGGAATCACATAAGATATCCAGACCACTGGAAAAGCACCCTGTTCTGATTAGCTTAAGTCTGAACAAAATAAACTACAAGAATTGTGCTACTCGGGCTAGTCGTGGGTCCAGCTGATAAGTTACAGGCTGTAGCTTAGCTGTTGTCATTGCCTCCAGTAAATATGCAAAGATAGCAATCAGATGGTATTTATTTAAACCACAATTACCTTCTCATTAGCCCTAAGTGGAATTCTTATGATGGAGCTCCCTTTGATCATTGGCACACGTTTCCCCAGGAGGCTTTGTTTCATTTTGGATGAGATGGAAGAGGAGGGGAGACAGATGAATCAGAGTTCGTGCTGATGGGAATAATCTTTGGAAATGCCCAGATGCCCTGACTATGCCTGTGTTTGCAGCATCAGTACAAGCTATACTCTGAATGCTTGCACAGAACATGTTCTGTGTGCCATCAGCAGAAACATCTAAAGTATGCCTGTATTTACCAGGCCTTTGTTTCATGATCTGCCATGGGGAAGTTGTTTTGATTTGTTTTTATTACTGCTGTTGTGATGTGGTTGTTCCAACTGTTCCATCCCTACAAAGGACAAGCCAAGGGGATTTGAATTAAACCCAATACATTGAGTTGTTTCTCCTGCACCAAAGATATTACTAATTGGTGTCAGTCAACTGACAATTTAGCCACTGGCTTTTCTTTTGTTTCCTTTTCTTTTCCTTCAAGCTCTATCACAGATATTTTTATGTTTGTAAATTACGTTTTCCCCCCCTTTTTCCCTCTACAGCAAAAAGGAAACCAGCAGCCTTCAAAAAATCACAGAGGATGGTAAGAAATCCACCATCTGTCTACAGGAGTATAAGCAATTTGAAAAAAAAAGCATATTCAAGTCAACATGAAAGAACCACAAATAAATGCCACCACTATTTGTTTGGATTGGTTCATTCTGATAGACAAGATAGGAAGTCACAGAATCACAGAATTGTAGGGGTTGGAAGGGACCTCCAGAGCTCATCGAGTCCAACCCCCTGCCAAAGCAGTTCCCTACAGCAGGTCGCACAGGTCGGCATCCAGGCAGGTCTGGAACATCTCCAGAGCAGGAGACTCCACCACCTCCCTGGCAGCCTGTTCCAGTGCTCCTCACCTCACTGTACAGCAGTTCCTTTGCACATTGGTGCAGAACTTCCTATGCTGCAGTTTCCAGCCATTTCCCCTTGTCCTGTCTCCATTCACCACTGAAAAGAGTCCGGCCTCGCCATTCTGCCCCCTACACCTCAGATACTGATAGACCTGGATCAGGTCCCCTCTCAGTCTTCTTTTCTCAAGGCTGAACAGACCCAGTTCACTCAGCCTTTCCTCATAGCAGAGATGCTCCAGGCCCTTCACCATCTTCGTGGCCCTCCGCTGGACTCTTTCCAAGAGATCCCTGTCTGTTTTATACTGAGGAGCCCAGAATTGGATGCAGTGCTCCAGGTACTCCAAATGATAGTAAAATAACTGGGATAAGGGTTGTTAAAATATTCTGGTCCTAGATTTTTACTTCCCATATCTCCAAGAAGCATGCTATATTTTGGGATCAGTGAACAGATTTCACTACTAAGAAAAAAGAAATTAAAAGACTTAGGTACATCCCAACAGAAAAAAGGCAGTTTTTGAGCTCCCCCCTGGAGGATGGAAAAAATATTTTCTTCTATGTTACAGGTCCAAAGGACACCTGTGCTGAGTATAGCAAGCATGAGTGTTTTATAATGGCAAAGGCACTTGAGAACCTGGAAGTGAGCCATGCTGTCCTGGTGACCAATAGTTTTGGGGGGTCTGGGTGCAGCTCAGATCATGCTGCTCCAGCTGCAAGTTGCGTACATCTCTAGCCCCATGAGATACGTGGTCCATCCCACAGCATATCCATGTCACATTGTCAACTGCCTGATTCTGTATCCAAGACAGAGAGAAAACACACTGACATGCAGGCAGAAACACAGTTAAGTGCACTTGGATGTTTTGCCTGTATTAAAGTTTCCCTATGGATGCCCATTTTGCTCCCCAAAGCACCCTGTGAAGATATTTCTGAGGTTCAAGAGTGCGGATGTTTGGAAAGTTTGCTCTCAGTACCTTTATGCTAACTATAGCTCAGACATACTCAAGCCAGCTCCCTGATTCACTGGTAACCACTTCTGACTTGATGATCTTTCACTAAAATGGGTGCACTTCTGGGATATGTTTACATCTCACAATTCAGGATATCACTGAAAAGCCCCAAGCCTCTCTGGAGCTGAGACCTGAATGAAATTCCTTCTGTTGAGAATCAGAGCTTGTATTTTTCAGGTTCCGGAGACACTAAATTAAATGAATTCCATTTTAAATACTTACTTTTCAGACATGATGGTTTTAGAAGAAATACAGCTCTTCAACCAAAGAGAAAGTTCAATAATTTACCTTTAAAAATATATCTTGATTGTTTAGTTCACATCCTGAATGGCAGAGAGGTGCAAACCCATGATTTCTGAATGAGTCTGGCAAATCTGGGCTCAAAACAACACCATTCCTGAGACAATGCCAAAGCTGCAAGTAGTTCCTTCAGAAGCTGTTCTATAAAGAACAAAAGCCCCAGTTCAGCACTTTGCATATGGTTATGTCTAGATTAAAAGATGTGCAGCAAATTCCCTCGAAATCACTGGAACTACTCACATGATAAGAATGAAGCACAAGCTTGGGTATCTTGTTGAGCTGATGCCTCAGGATCATGATAAGCTTAATAAGCATTCATCCTAAACACTGCAAAAATATAAGCTGTGAAATTCTCATCAAAAATAAGAAGCCTCAAGACATACAGAGATGAATCATGAAAAACAAATTGGCAAGCTTCTTATTAAAGCAAAAGAAAACACAACATCATGCAATCAGAGCAATAAAGAAGCTCTAGCTCTTCGTCAGCTAGAATAATCAAATCAAAGCAACATAAAAATATCTATACACAAAATAATGGCAGACAATCAAAAGCAAAAGAGCTCAGCACCTAATGAACCCTGCTTGGAATAGCGTGCATCACATACAGTTTGGATATAAATCCTGCCCCAGCTCATCAGAAGAACTTAAACCTGCTCACTATAATCCATGAATGAGAACACATGAAGGAGCTGTACACGTCTTAAAACACCTCTGGGCCTGTGGTGGCCCTCCCCAGCAGGACAGAGCTCTGCACCCACCAACAGCAAACCTTTAAGACTTTGGCCAAGAACATGCAGGAACAAGAGGGCTGTGTTAGTCTGAAGTAGCCACAGCATGCAAAACTTCCATGAGTAAAATCAATTCTCCAAGGGCTTCCAGGTTGTGTTCTGGGCTGTGCTGTTACTAAGAGGAGGTTGCTCATTTCTGATGGAGTCAATAAATAATTTGAATAACACCAGAGAGATTTGTCACTGTACGCTTTACTGAGCAGTGCAAAGTAAGAAAATATTTCTGAGAAAAGAGGCTGTTGGCAGGAAAAGTGCTCATTCTGTAGCTGAAGCTGGAGACACGGAGATCAAGAGTTAAACTTCAACATGAAAGAACAAGTGATTGGTAACGCAGCAATGCAGGATTAAAAGTGGGAAGCCTTGGCTAGGAAGGGCATTTAGCAGCAGCACACTCAATGATGAGCACACTTCATGAAAGGGAATCTATCCACTTAGCATTTCTTTGCAAGATCATGCAGGGAGGTTCACAGCTCCTATAATACAATTACTTTCTCTAAAAGACCAATTCAGAAAGCAATTACACATCATTAGCATTGTACTTCGAAGGCCTAAGCTGATCCAAGAGAGTAAACCCCACAGCTTGACTAAGCTACTGCTCTGTGCCACTCATTTGTATCTTGTGCCCCAAGTCAGGTAGGTACTGCTGAGAGCCCATCATTGGTGATTTTTGCACAGGAGAGCTCAGAAGATTAGAAAATGCAATAAAACTGAAAGAGAATGCACAGGGAAACCCCAACAGTTCATCACTCAGAGACCACTGCAAGGTCATTTTTAGTCTACCTCCTCCATAACCATTCGTTTTATTTATTAAGCACCATTCCTAAACTGAAATAAAAGTTTTCTTTTTTGTTTGTTGTCAAAGAGGGAAATAAGGAAGATCACATACAACTTGTCCAAATTAGCTAACCAAAAATGGCTTTACCTGTAGACGAGTCCCTTGAAGCTAGAAGTATGAGTACTGCTAGTTAAACCCAGATTAGATTCCAAGGATGCCTTGGCTACTGCTGCCAACACAGGCACAGCTTCCAGGTTTTCATTATGGACTGCAGAATTTTCTTTGTAAACACAAAGGATCCTGAAACAAGCTTATACTGCCCACATGGGAGGCCCTGCTTGCTTTGTGCTAGGATTATCTCCTTCAGCACATGAAAGCTGGGTCCCTCTGTCATGCAGTTGCTTCTCTTGAGGCCACTTAGTTCTACCTGCAGCAATGGTTTGTGCCTCCAGTTCAGGTTCACCAGCAAATCTAGGTGGGATCATGCAGCCCCTCACCACCTCCAGCAACATCCCCCATCCATACACAGATCTGCCCCGCAGAGAAGTGAAGCTCAGACAGGTTATCCACTGCACAGCTCCTCAATTTGTAACTCAGTGCATTTTTATAAATTGACACTGTTTCTTATTAAAGGTTTATTAAGCCTGCTTGTAGCCAATTTAAGATAAGAAATATCTTTTAACCTCTTCTTTCCTTGCTACACAATCATAGATCGAGTAACACCACACATATTTAGATGCAAATCAGTTTTCCCTGATGACTTTCAGATCTATACATGCTAAGAAAATGATAAAGAAGTTAAACATCTGTTCTTTAATTAGACTCAGCCTAAAGAATTATATGAAAATTATAGTAATTGTGACAAGGAATATTAAACACTCCCACAGTTCAAAATTTCCAAATGCATCGTTTGCACCCCTCAGGATAATTCACCACAAGTTTCTCAACCAAGCCACACACTTAGCAGTTTCTAACCTGTTTCTCTCTCTGACTTGACAGAAACTGTTCAAGGGATGAGTGTCAGAGTAGTTTCCCTGTCTCTTACTACTCTGTTTGTACTCTCAGAGGATGGGAATTTATATACACATCAGCAAACGCTTTCTGCCGGCTGGGAACATCGCAGTATTTCTCATATATCTTCCTCTAGTGGCTCTATCTACCCTGCATTACAGTATCACTAGAGGAACTCACTCTGAAGATTAACACAGTCAACATCTTGGAAAATGCATCCTGCCTTCATTAACATCTCACGAGGACACGAGACACCAACCCACTGCTATCACCCGTGTTACACATACATCAGCTCACAAAGAAATGGGCTACAAAGGCAAGTGCTTTGTTAGCAAGAACAACCTGATCTCTGCCACAGCAAACTGTTACAGGTTTACTGCACTTCCTCACTGAGAGGTTTAAATTCTCATGCTTCTTTTACACAAACTGCTAAAGGAGGGATCTACATTTTTTCCTCTCTTTGCCCACTACAACAAAGCATCTTGCTCTCCTTAGCAAAGTGCTGCTAAATAGTAACCTTGTGATGATATTTATGCTCCAGGTTGACTTGACTTCTTTCTGCATTTTTCCCAGCCTTCACCTTCTCCCAGGTCAGTTCCTGAATCCTGTAAATGCCTTTTGTTTCATAAAGATGAGACACTCAGAACCTCCCAAATTGCCTCACTGTTTGTGAAATCCATAAAGGAATAAAAAGCCCAAATGACAAAACATTAGAGAACTGGGTTTTCAAACCTTAACAAGGTATTCCTTGGAGTATGAGCTCAGCCCACCTGTGCAGCTGTCAGAGCAATGCTAAAATGCTTCACTGACACACTGGCAGAAATAAGAAAAACCTGGTTTAAAAACACTGTAGGCAGCCTTCTAAACAGCTTATGTTTCCCAGATGAAGGTACTGCACCAAGCAGCAGATCAGTCAGGGAGAGGTGAAATTATAACCCCATCACCTCCCCTCGAAGAGAGGCTGATACTTCAATTATTTACACAGGGTTTAAACATTTAGTTGGCACTTACACCCTTAAGGAAACTACAGTTACCACTTCATCATTACACGGAGCCTATCATTTATTCATAGAATCAATAGGAACACAAAGCAACAGTAATGCTTCATTCCTTTGCGTGCATCACATGGGTCAAGGCATAGAGATTGTGATCTTCTAGAGGAAGCAGCCTGAATTTTGGGTTAACACAGCTGCCCACCAGACAGGTAAATTCGAGACAACATCTTCGAAACTAGAAAGTGGACAACGATCCAAACAGGAGTGGATTACTGTCCTGATTAGTGATGGCAGAGATGCAGACTGAGACCAAACTTCCAGTGGCAGGCAATGAACCTGGGACCCTTTAACCTGCAACTGAAATATTTACAGCTTCCCAACGCATCTTGTTTTTAGCAAAGCCAGAAGTAAAGCGTTGTGCAGCTGAGCCACTGCTAATGAAAATAATGCCATGTAGTATTTCAACAGCATGATTTCACTTTGCCCTGGGTGACCTCATTTCATAGCAGGGTAGGAACATCTCGTTTTCTTCAGCATCCACTGCGGAAGGTACCAAGAGGGAGATGCTCCTTGCTTTTCAGAAGGCACTCTTTTTAAAAGCAGAAATTAAAATAAAAATAAAAATAAAAAAAAATAGAAACCCAATTCAGGGAAGCTGGCATGCTAACTCATTTTCATTTAACTGCAATATCATAAAATCAGACCAGGAAGCATCCTTCCAAAGCATGATAATACAATACAGCATTAACCCAATGCTATTATCTTTAAATGCCCCTTATGTCTCTTGAATTTCCTTTATAAACAATGGATGAACTCAGCAAAGAACAGCTTTAATGCAGTCAATCTCATTTCAGGTTTAACTGAATGGAGAACAGCTGACCAAAAACGTAAACTCATCCTTTTATATGCTTCATAACTGAATCAGAAGCCCTACATACTCCTTTTCTCTTAAGAAACCTGTACTGCTGCCCTGTTAGCCTACAGACATACCTACAAAAAAGCTAATTCTAACTCACTATCAGAATGAGACAGCACACTGGTTATTCCATTCCTGACACACAAATAGTTGTTTCTGAACTGCACTGCCTAAGATCTCCAATTCTTCCCTCCTCTAGCTCTGCCACGTGCAGGATTTGCAGTTCCTTGGTTCCTGGCTCACTCACCTTAAAGATCACAGACAATAACTCTGTTGCCAAGCTTTTAGCACCTTTCCTTCCTACCATCATTCATCGTTGTCTCTTCTGGCAGGCACTGAAATAGAGACTGACGTGCTGTAACATCTGCATTGTATTTAATTCCTTTTATTTTATTTTGAAACATTACCTGCACCACGGCTCAGAATGCTCTGTGCCCCATTATGAACTAGACAGAAACATAATGAAAACTGATCATACTTAGGCTGGATATCAGCACATGCTAGGACTACCAATGGAGCTCTTATGGAAAATAATGCCTTTACAACAAGAAAGGGCAGCAGGATTCATAACATGAATAATACTTGCATTAATATTTGTCATTCCATCAGCACCAAGAGGCACAGCTGGCCTAGACCTCACTCAGTTGCCGGCCATGGCTTTGGTCTCACTCTTGTCAAGCAAATACACATTTATTTTTCCCTTTGCTGAGACTAAAGGTCTGGCACAGCAGGGTGACAAAGGTAATACAGCTATATTGCTGTAAAGATAGTTGATCAGAAATTACACCTACTGATCAGTAACGGTACAAACCCGGTATGCTGCACAAGGCATTGAAGTGTTATG